TCCAAGTTGAAAAGGAGCCAAGTATATTCTGTATTATTATTATTATTATTATTTTAAGCAAAGCCAGCATGGTGCAGTGGTTTGAGCGTCAGAATACGACTCAAAAACAAACCGCAACAAACTACAATTCCCAGAACTCCATAGCATTGAGCCATGGCAGTTAAAGCGGTGTCAAACCGGATCATATCCCCAGTGTGAATGCAATGCAGCCATTATGGCAGAAATCAAAATTTCTGAATCAGAGACCAGCGTGACGTAGTGGTTTGAGCATCGGACTATGACTTTGGAGACCAGGGTTCGAATCCCATCTCAGCCATGGAAACCCACTGGGTGACACTCTCTCAGCCTCAGAGGAGAGCAATGGCAAAAACCCTCTGAAGAAACCTGCCCAGAAAAAAGCATGGTAAGTAAAAAATGATTTGGCGCCACACAACATTATTATTATTATTATTATTATTATTATTATTATTTCTCCTCCCCCCCCATTAAAAAGACCGATAAATCCTTCCCATAGGAATCTCTGAGCTGCCTCCAAGGAACAGGAGCCCATATATATATGTATATATATCATTTCCCACTCACCCTGGTTACAGAAAAGACTCCACAGCTTGGCAAATATTAGACCCATCCCGGAGCAGGAGCAACGGAAACAAAGCAGCCGCTTCCAACGAAGTCTCTCTCAGTCTGTTCTTTCTTCCTTTCTCTTCAGGCGGACAGGAGCGAAATGGGCGGGGCCGAAACCAGCCTAGCCCCGCCCCCTCCCCTCTGACTTTCAGCCACACAAGCAGCCCATCCTTCCTTCCTTCCGGCATCCCCTTACGTCACCGACGCACGCCCCGTGACTAGGGCTGACGCAACGCCGTGACGCACAAGGCAGAAACCGGAACCTGTTTTTTCTCCTTCTCCTCTAGAGGTAGGAAATATTGACATAGAAGCACCATTTCCGGATTCCACTCGAATGTCGCCATATGCGGGTTGTTTTTTGTTGTTGTTAACTGCCCTCGAGTCGATCTCCACTCATGGCGACCCTATGGATGAGACATTTAGTCCCTATAGAGCAGGGGTAGGCAACCTGTCCCCTTTAAGGGCCGAGGGACTTCAGCTCCCAGAAGCCTCAGCCATGTTGGCCAATAGTCCCATGTTGGCCAATAGCTCCTGGGATTCTGGGAGCTGAAGTCCCTCGGCCCTTAAAGGGGAAAGGTTGCCTACCCCTGGTCTAAGCCCTATAGAGGTTGCATCCGCACTGCAGGAATCCAGTTTGACACCACTTTAATTGCCCTTACTCAAAAACTACTTGAAGGCAAACAATAGTGCAAATTGAGTCCACTTTTAGGGTTAGTGCTAGGGAATCAT